TAGGGGCCCACGCTTGGGAAGAACTGTCCTAATGAGTATTCCTGGGCTGGAAGGGCAAGGCATGACCAGTGCCTCTTTTCCCACCAACACTAGGGCAGATGCTGAGGGCAGCCATACTATCCCCCAGGCCATTCTCTTGAAGGCCAGAGTGTGCTACAAAGCCTTCTCTGTACCCTTTAAATTACTGTAGCTTGCTTCCGTCAGGCCTTTTGAAAGACCTTTTCTCATTGCCTTCTCCGTACCCTTTAAAACTAGCTTACTTCCATCAGGCCTTTTGAAAGACCTTTTCTCATTGCCATCATGGTAGTAAGATTCCACTGCCTTCCGTGTGTCAGGGAGCATCGACTACTGTTTCCTGGGGCAGCTAAAGTTTTGGGATTGCTCCAGGGAGGAAAGAAAGGGCAACAGTTTCAGCTGTTCATCTGCCAGCATGCTAGTGGATCAAAAACAAGGAGGGGCAGCTTTGGTCGCCTGGAGGCTAAATGTTTGCTCCTAGCACAGAGTTTTTAAAGCCTTATTTAAGGGGGGGGGAGCCTGGACAGCCACTGCCAGTTTGGGTTTTGGAGGGATAGGAGAGTCCCCCCCCAACCAGTTCAATGGAAATACCCACTGTTTCTGGAATCCCCTAAACAGAAAAATATTTTTCTCTCTCTCTCAATTAAAAACAACAACAACACCTTTGGGGGTGGGCATGCAGGTTCGGGAACCCAAAAATGCCCCTTTGAACTGTGGAGCTTCTGGCCTGCACTTTGCCTCCTCTGGTATCAAAGCTTGCACTTGGTCTGCAGGATGGTTTTCCTTCCAATGAGAAGGGAGTGGGAACCCTTTCTTTGGAATAAATGAGCCAGCCCCTTTGCCTCACCTGCTTCCAGAAGTAGCCACCATTGTTGCGGATGATGCCACTGCCACAGTTACAGAGGAGGCAAAAGCAAAGCCCACAACCTCCCTTGGCCTGGAGGATTTGGACCACAAATCTCCTTAAGCCCTAGCCAACGTGGCCAGTTGTCAAGGGATAGTAGTAATCCAACTACATTTTGTGTAAACCATATTCTGGAAAGCTGAATTAGAATAAACTGGAACATGCGATTGTTTCCAGGTCCAGACCCAGTAATAGTTGAAAATGTTGGCAGCTTCTCCCCTGTCCCAAGCTACATCTTTTTGGAAAAATGGTAGGAAAGAGGCTGCAGTGTCTTGGCCTGTGACTGAATCTCAAGAAAGTATTCTGAAAGAGCACCTTCACGCCTTTAGACTAGCCTCCCCGACGACTCTCCCTACCGTCTCCCTACCGCCTGCCCGCCAGTAATGTCTATTGGTGGCCATAGTGCTACCTGTCCTTTGGGAATAGCGTACCCAGCATATTCTTCACCTGCATGCACGTGAAATAAGTGTATCATCAACGCATCCTTCTGGGAAGAGGTCCTATTCATAGCACTGGGAGGAGAGTGCTTTCTAATAGGGTGGGTAATATGAACTACAGTCCCTGATGAAAGATCTCACTCTTTTGAGTCAAAAGCCTAAGAGGCCAAACTTCTAATTTCCATTTAAATCTTTGGAAGAGAGGGTTAGAGAGCAGTTAGATTGCTTTGGTAGGGGGTGGGGAGATTCCTGGGCCACTGATTTCTACTTCCATTTTTCTTTTTCTTTAAATGCCCTTTCTTCTCACTAAACCTCACTTTCTCCACGGGAGGTGAATGCGAGAGAGTGGCTAGGGAAAGTGCATTGATCTGCAGGGAATCTTTATTCCTTTCTCAGCTTCCGTTCCTCTGCATGTGTCTGTGCCAGGAAAATGTCAGCAACCAGCAGGGAGGGGAGCTGGTGACATACACCAACTCCTCCCCATCCCTCAGAGCTGGCAAAAGAGCCGAGGACTTCACAATGTCCCTTCCTCCATCCCCATCCCCATCTCCAGCCCACCACAACCTATTATACCATCATCTGGGCTCCCCTTTAAGCAAATCCAGGAATCCTGGCTTCCGATGCCTCTATTCTAGGCAAAAATCCATTCCCGCCTCCCCACCACCACCACCCAAACCTCAATGTATTTCAAAGCAACTGCATTCAGCTTATTTTCACATTGGCTCTTTTTATCTGGTGCTAAAATCCTGTGAGAAACGAGTCTCTTTTGGTCAGCTGGAAATTAGAAGCACAACACCACACACCTTAGATGGGCCTTGCACAAGGTGATGACCACAGACTTTGACAGCATGAACATCGCTTACAGGGGGCAATGGAAACTTTTGCCCAACACACCTGGAGGGCACCATTAAGGCAGAGAAGGCTGTTGTAGGTGGGATTCTGTCTGCACATAGGCATGGAGCTGCTTTGTCCTTCCCATGATGGTCATGAGCCCCCCCCCTTGTCGTCACTTCTAACTCTTCCTCTTTGCATCCTGAACTTTAGTGCCTCTCACCTTAATCCTATTTCCCCATCTTTTCTCTCATTCTTTTGCATCTACTACCTCTTTCTTGGTCCAGTTCTTTTCCTTCCCTTTCTGCTGCTTCTATTTTCTTGTCCCTTATTCTTTCCTCTCGGCCCATTTCACTGTCTCCATCTTTCTTCTCCTTTGCCCAGGCCGCTGCCACCCCGTTCAAAGATCTTTGTTAATCTTCCACTTACCAACCCTGTACACCAACCTTTCCCCCCCCAACCCTCACATCTTCTATTTAGTACTTTTCATTCTTTGATTATCCTTCTCTCTTTTTCTTTCTTCTTTGTCATATGTTTCCCTGACTGTCATCCTCCAGACATATATCTATTCCTCTGTAATATGTACATTTTACACCAGCCAGTTCTGTCTGTCGTCAGCTTGACTGCATCTTACCCCATTTCTCCATCCCCAGCTTTCCTTTCTTACAATCTCTGATCCCTCCACTCTTCATTCCAGCTTCCCCCCCCATCTCTGTGAAGCCTCTTTCCATCCATCTCGACCCCACTGTCTGTTGTTTTCTCCATTGAAATAAAGGGGAGCCGTATGGTCCAAACAAAATAAAATACAAATGCAAGAGTAGGCACTTGTATGGTGTAGGTATGATTATTTTTAGTGGTGTGCAAAGGTATTGCCTGTTCATGCGTCTGTTTTCTCCCCTGTCTCTGACTCTTCCACCTGTAATCCTTTCCCTAGTTCAGGGATGGCAAACCTTTGGCACGCCAGACGTTTTGCAGTAAAGCTCCCAGAAGCCCTGGCCTGTTTGCTGATGATAAAGAAGTGTAGTCTGAAACATCTGGAGTGTGAGAGGTTTGCCGCCCCTGCCCACCAGCTCCCCATCCCTGCTGCCCTACACCCCTTCTTTCCATAACCCCCTCCGTCTTTTCGTTCTCTCTACTCCCTATTCATCCCTCATTCTCCATCATCCTTGGTTGTCTCCCACTTGCCCGTCTCTTTTTATTGCCCACCCTTTCCTCCCATTTCTCAAACCCTCTTTCCCCTTTTCTGGTCTCCACCGTCTCCCTCCCTCCCGTCCCTCCTCGCTTCTCCATCATCCCCTGGGGGGTCTCCCCTCCTTCCTCTCCAACCCCATTTCCCCAGCCTTCTGCCTTCCTTCCCATCGCTCTCCCTCTGCCAGCACCTCCACGGTCTGGGTGTCCCATCCTTTCCCAGCTGTCTCTCTCTCGCTCTCGCTCTCTCGCTCTCATCCCGTCCTTTCCCAGCTTTCTCTCTCTCTCTGCTTCCTCCATCGACCCCCGCGGGTCTCCCTCTCTCTCCCTCGATCCTCCTTCCCGCCCTCCCGCGCTCAACTTCTCCATCACCTTTTCTGCCCTTCTTCTCCAGTGCCCTGATCTCCGCGGGCAGAGCCCCTCTCCCCATCCCTTAGCCTCTCTCTCTCTCTCTCTCTCTCCCCACCCCTTGCGCGCCATTTCTCCATCCTCCTCATCCTCCTCAGTCTCTTCCTCTCGCCTTTCTTCCGTCCTGCCCCCTCCCCGCCGTCCCCTCCCCTCCCCACCACCCCCTGAGGTACTGCTGCGGTGGGCTCATTGCA